TGCCTGTCACGTTATAGCGGTTTTAATATGTGCGCATATGTATACATATATAATTTAATAGTTTTTCATACCCATCTCATCGGGGCAATGTAAAGCCTTTGTCGCTTTGATAAGCGTCATTTATGCAAATGCAGCGCATTCACGCAGAATAATCAGGCGAATGTCATAGCGCAAAAACCGTATCTTCGTTGTTTAAATGGTTCAATATTTTAGCCTTTGATTAAAGTATTTAATTACGTTCATAAATTAACGGCCGTCGCATCGATTCACACAGTGGAACTGAAGGATGCCGGACGGTTGTCATGGAGCATCTCAGATTTGCACCTGCCTTTTTCGGACAATGCAGTGATATCAAAATGCATGCTCGTAAATCCTCCAGATTCAGAATCACACACAAACACCGGGGCAGACAAATATTGTGTCCTGGCGATGTGCAAATAGTGAGAGGCTGGCAACAAATACCAAATACAAAATGCAAAATGCATATGCCCGAGCATAACTCATTAGTATTAACTGCATGTACCACCAAAACAGACAAAGGTGTGTTTGTGTGCTTTGAGTGTGGGGGTGTACACAGAAAAAAAGAAGATTTGTTATTAAAAACATAAAAAAATATTAGCGTTGGCACAGAAATTCTTAGGGCTTTGAAATCACTTAAAAAGGTTTCTAAAAGTATGCAGCGAAAAAGAACATTGCCTTCTGGTATGAATCAAACGTAAAATTAGTTGTTGAATACTTTTTGACACATTATTAAATTAAAAATTGCAATTTGCATTCCTTTCTCTTCATTTTTAAAGAAGTTTATACACACACATTTTGATTATGAAATAACATAGATTTTTTGCCCCTACCTAAAAATTTTAATAGGGGCAATACTTATTTTTGAAAATTTTCCCTCGTGCAAGGGACTTAAAGTGTGTGCGTGGTAGAGCACGTTATCGCTCTAGGGCTGTGGCCATTAAATAATTGCCACAATTTATGTGCACACACTTCGCATACGGCAAACCGGAGCTGGAGTGAAGTTTGTCGCAAGCCCAAAGGTCCTCGTACCCCCAATGAAACCATCCTCTACCCCCAAAACACTCAACAACCGACGAGCAATGCATCTTGGCTGCGCAAATATAGAGGGCAAGCCAAAGATTATACATAATTTTCAATTTGCAGCATTCGAAACACACACCAGGCATGTATGAATGCGAATGTGAATGGGGTATAGGTATAGGTATAGCTGGTATTGCTTGGCACCCAGATGTTTGTGCAACATGCAACTGCATTTATGCAACAACTCTCGGCCTGAGTGCCGCTCCAGGCTCAAAATGGCATTAGCAACTGCAGGTTGCAGCCACAAACAACTGGCTGTATTAATAGGGTCTGCTATTCAGTTAGCACTGCATTCGAATTGCATCCTGTTGGCAGAATGCATTTTTCATGTCCATGCTTCAACAGCCGGCCATGCGATTGGGCCAAAAGAAGTGGGAATTAGATGGAGAGTGCGGCCAATCGTTGATTATGGCCTAGAACAAATATGAACGGCAGAGGAAAAGGCTTCAGGTTGGATTGAAACGAGGTATTAAATGAAAGTCTTTAAAAGCCGTTGGTTTTAAAAAAAGTGGGATTTAACTAAAAACATGCATTTAAGATTAGTAGTAAATAAGTTTTTTCTTAAATTACAATTCATAAAAGAATACAGCACTTTAACGCAAGGGACAAATGGTAATTATAATGATTTAAAGAGACATTAGATAGTTCCTTATACATCATAGTTTATACATTTTTCTAAGGAAGAAATCACATTAATTGAAATGTTAGTAAAAGAGAAAAGAAAGGGTCAATTGTAGAATACTTGATGTATTTGTATTTCTGAGGAGCCTTTGAAGCCTGAAAGCTTTCGCAATGCCTTACTCATTCATTTAACAATTTCATTTAACCATCATATTAAAACCTGGCTCCTCTGTGAGCCGTCCGCTAATAGCTGATAGCAATGCTAATTAACGAACTTGTGTCTGCTCCTCCTCCTGCATGTTGCGCTGCTACTCCCATCTTGTGCGTCCAGGTTTCCGATACCGTCGTGGAACCGTACAATGCCACGCTGTCCATCCACCAGCTGGTGGAGAACACCGACGAGACCTTCTGCATTGACAACGAGGCTCTCTACGACATCTGCTTCCGCACGCTGAAGCTATCGTCGCCCACCTACGGCGATCTTAACCATCTGGTTTCCGTGAGTACCCCCTAGTCAATCCATCTAATGCATCCTCTGTTTGTCCCATTCCCTCCTCCTCCTCAACATCCTCCTCATCGAATTGGAATTTATCCGGGCGAAGGTGTCCGAGGTGGTGGTGGAGCCATATAACGCCACGTTGTCGCTGCACCAACTTATTGTGGACACCGATGAGACGTTCTGCATCGACAACGAGGCTTTGTATGACATCTGCTATCAGAGCCTGCGCCTCTGCTCCCCCACCTACGAGGATCTCAACCACCTGGTGTCCGTAAGTATCCAAAAATTTGACCCAAGGCGAAGATGACGAAGTCCAAGAGAGAACATCAGTATACATTTCAGGAAAACCTAACCCACCTTATCCAAGACACTTAAGCCCTAACTCGATAATTGGGAACTCGCCATTAATATCTAGATTGTAAATATAACAAAAACTCTATTCTTAATATATAAGATAATTTAAACATTGTACACTAATTTTAAAAAAATAACAATTAATTTTTTTTTTAAGAAAACATTTGAACGATTGTTTGTTCCAAATTAATGGCGAGTTCCTATCTTACTTATAGCCACACTCTTTATATTTTTCTTAAATATAATGTGATGTTACCTCTCCCAACCAGGTCACAATGTCCGGAGTGACCACCTGCCTGCGTTTCCCTGGCCAGCTGAACGCTGATCTTCGCAAGCTGGCGGTGAACATGGTGCCCTTCCCGCGTCTCCACTTCTTCATGCCCGGATTCGCACCTCTGACCGCCAAGGGATCCCAGCAATACCGCGCCCTCACGGTGGCGGAACTGACCCAGCAAATGTTCGACGCCAAGAACATGATGACCGCCTGCGATCCCCGGCACGGACGCTACCTCACGGTGGCCTGCATCTTCCGGGGTGAGTTCGGGACCCCGAGTCAAATGAAAGCCCTGGGGGTGGAAAAAGAATAATAGTGTTTTAACAACAAGCCCTAAACACTTCCACGCGTAGCCAAAAAACACAGGGAATTCATTCATCTATCTGCTCATTTATTCAGGAGCCCCGCACCGGCTTATCCGGCCCAACTTTGTCACTTTGTCATGGGCAACCGGTGGCACACCTGTCCGCCGATTTTCCGGAGCCACAGGCACGTAGTGCTAAACCAGGGGCGGAACAAAGGGGGTTTTCTAAAATTTCTATATATATCCACGATGAAAAAGCAGAATGTCATATAATAAATTTATTTATATGTTTAATGGTATAAAAATTTATCGTAGGATACTTTTAGACAGCTTTATAGAGGGTTTAAAACTCTAGAAACAACAATTTCTATAAACATTGAGACACCCCTTGAAAACATTTACCCTATCCGCCCCTGGCTAACACCTTGGCCTCCTGGGGCTTGGCTTTGGCGACGATTTTATTAGCCAAAGTCGAGCACTGGGCCTACTACTTATGGGCGCCACTAAAAATGATTAATGCCCGCTGGCTGGCGGCTAAAAAGGCTGCAATCCGTCAACGCGCACGTAGCGCAAATTTGTTAGCCATCCCAACCCTGCAAGAAATGGTTGCTGGCATTTTTTCGCGCTAATTTTTAAATTAATAAACTGCGATGCGGCGCCCAAAAGTATGCCGCATAATATTTCATTTGCTATTCCTTGTGTGCGCCGCATTTGCCCTTGCTTTTGACTGATGACTCGCAAAACGCGCGTAATTAGAAATTTACTTTCAAGATCCATTGGGGAATTGCGACCGCCGCCTGACACGGCCCCCCGGCTTAACTAATCATGCCGAACGTGACTTGGCCTGCACTCCTCCACCCATCTCCATCTCCGGATTCGTTTTCGTCTCCGACTGACTGCCAGAAATACTTACAAAATAATTAATCACAAAAATGTGCGGGAAAAAATGCCAGCGAGGAGGAATTTAAACAACTTTTTTAGTTACCTCCTGGGACTGTTTCTGTTTCCCGTGTTCCGTTGCCATTCCCATCTCCGAGAGATCCCAGCCCAGGTGGCAAGGTGCACGGGCCAGGACTTAGAAGCCGTGTTTAGTATTTCATATTCAGGGATTTGGGGATTCCGCCGACGCATCAAAGCGAACTTAGCTTTTGATGTAAATGCTCACAGGAAGTTTCCGGCACTTTTTTATAACGTTCCTACTCAATAATTAACAGGACCCATGTCCATGAAGGAGGTGGACACGCAGATGCTGAATGTGCAGAGCAAGAACAGCAGCTACTTCGTCGAGTGGATTCCGAACAACGTCAAGGTGGCCGTCTGCGATATCCCGCCCAGAGGCCTCAAGATGTCCGCCACCTTCATTGGCAACTCGACGGCCATCCAGGAGATCTTCAAGCGCATCTCCGAGCAGTTCACCGCCATGTTCCGGCGCAAGGCCTTCCTGCACTGGTACACCGGCGAGGGCATGGACGAGATGGAGTTCACCGAGGCCGAGAGCAACATGAACGATCTGATATCCGAGTACCAGCAGTATCAGGTGCGTGTCCAATATGCTTATTTTAAAATTAACCAATCTTAATTTAAATATTTTTCGATTATTTAGGAGGCTACTGCCGACGACGAAGTCGAGTTCGACGACGAGCAGGGTGAGCAAGAAGGTTACGAGTCGGAGGTTTTGCAGAACGGCAATGCCGAGTAAGGACCTAGAAACTAACACAAGTGTAGCTGTTTTCTGTATACTATTTTGTAAATTATTTGGCCCCAAAAGGCTTCAAATAAATATTTAGTAAATATAGTAAAAAAAAAAAAAAGACTTCCTTTAAAGTTCGAAATTGAAATCCCGGAAGTATGTCTAAAAGTTTTATTGGTTTTACTTGGATTCTTGAGCCTACAGGGGGTAGTTGACCAGCACATCCTGGCGAGCCAATTCCAGCAACATGGGATCGTCGAAGAATTTGTTGATGGACACATCCTCGGAGAGACCCTTCCTGCGGCGCGTCTTGATCATAAACTCTCGCGCCAAGTGGGATGCCTGCTGGGGCTCCAGGGGTCGGATAATAATGCTCTTGTCCAGCGGATCGCCAGGCACTATTTGCCAGTGATGGAACACCGAAAGACAAAAGGCCTGACCTTGGGTGTGCGTGCGGAGATCCGTTTCAAATCCAAATGAATCAATGGCGGGTATGAAGGCTTTGATCGTGTAGATAGGGGATCCCGATACCGGAGCATCCTGCGTTACATGCCCTCTGTAGAAATGTTTATAAAACTAGTAAGCAGATTCGCCAGGAAAAACGGACAGTAAAACTCACCTGCGCCTGGCCAGCACAGTATAGACAGCAGACACACAATCCGCAGGCGCCTGTACCTCCACAAACAGATACGGTTCCATCAGTCGCGGTGTGGCCATCAGAAATGCAGAGTAGGCCACTCGACGTGCTGTTGGAATGATCTGTCCACCGCCCCGATGCAACGCCTCGTTCGCGATAACTCCATCGAGAATCTTAAACTTTACATTCCGAATGGGCTCCTCACAAAGCGGCCCTTCACGCGTACCCCACTGGAAGCCCTGAACAATCGAATCCTTCACCGCTGTCAACAGGTTCTTGTCCACTTCCGAAGGCAGGGTGTCGTCCACGAGGATATTCGGACCCGTTGAGTCGGGGCCGAAAGCCCAAATGGAACGCGCCGCCAGCAGATCCCAATCGTAGTTGACCTGGAAGAACTCTCCAATTCGTTTTTTGTTCCAATTTATGCAGACAGTTCCGTTCTCAATGTCCTCTGCCAGACCCTTTTCCAGTGGCTCAGAGATCATGGTTATTTTGTTCTTCTTATTTGGCGTTTCAGCAAAACATTTCAGCGAACTGGTTTCCACAACTGTTTCGCAGAAAGCCACCACAGGATCCGCCACTTTTATGTCAATCTCAGAGTACATTTTCCTCAGGTCGTGCATCACACAATCCAAGTACAGCTCGCCAGTGCCTAGGATAACATGCTCACCCGATTCTTCGACTCGCGTCGAAAGCAGTGGATATGATTTGTTCACTTTGCGAAGCCCATCCAACATCTTGGGAAGCTCAGAGGGGTTTACAGGCTCCACAGCTATCTTGATAATGCTCTGAGTATTAAACTTCAGTGGCCGGAATATATAGAGGTCCTCAGGGACATTTATGTCCACAATCGTTGAGGTTTTAACGATGCACTGATCAATTCCTTCGATGAGCACCCAATTTCCGGCGGGAACTCGATTAAGCTCCACTTTATAGCGAGACTCAAATACCCACAGACGGCCTACTTGCAGTATGCGGGAGTCCTCCTCGTCCTGCAGCGTGTAGTTCTCTCCTAAAACTCGCACCTCCTGACCAGCATGCAGGGTACCAGAGACAATCCTCGCCAGAACTTGGAAGAAGGTACAGTCGTCGTTAGGATACATCTTGGAGCTGTGCACCATCAGTGTACCATACTGATTGCACGAAATCATATCTCGGTAGATGTCACCCTCTTTGGGTCCCGTGTAAATATGGTCCACCTTTCGCTTGGCATTTTCTAAAGGAGATTTTATGTGCTCCACGCACATATCAACGAAGCCGCTGCAGTCGCCCATGAAACGATTGCAGACGAGTCGCAACAAGGGTCGTATGTTGGATTTCATTTCCTCTTTGGAGACGCGCACATTCAGCTCTGCCAGGGTGTCCGACAAAGTGGTGTCCACATCACCAACCACCTGGGCGATCAGCTTGTACATGGGCTCCAGAATGAACTCCACAAAGCTGCGTTGTGCCGAATTATGCGGTTGCTTCTTCGAGAACTTACGCCTATTTATTGATGGATAATGAAATTGTTGTAATTCGTTATTAAAACTTGTAACAGCCACTTACGTTTTGCTGTTGAAGTACATGTCGCCCCAGAGGCGTTTGGCAAAGTCCAGGTACGCCACTCCCTCATAAGTGTCCGCATAGAGCTTGGCAAAGGATTTCAGAGTAAAACAAAAGCCGTACAACGAACTGGCAAAGCAAACGTTTCCCAGGATGGGCGAAACCAGCAGATTATCGTCAGCGGCGCCATAGGTGCTATAAGAAAATAATGAATTATAAAGAATCTGTATTATTTGATAATGTTTTACGCACCTCAGTAGTCCATTGACCTCCTCCACAATGTGCTTGAGCTTAAAATAGGCGTCCTGGGGCGGTAACTTCAGTTCAAGGATGAGCCGATCAATCTACGAGTCAGAGGAAAACATTAGAATGACCTAAGATGACAATAAAACCATCACCAACTTTGTTTATGCACACGGTGATGGCCTGCCGCTCCTGCACCGCGTGTTTTAGCAGCCGCTCCGTGTTCAGCATGACGCCCTCGGCTGCATCGATGAACAGAACCACACCATCGCACATTCGCATGGCGGCAGTGGCCTCGTCCGAGAAGTTGACATGTCCCGGGGTGTCGAAGATATTGAGCAAGTAGCTCTTCTGCTTGACATCCTGCAGGACAAGAGTCACCGGCGTGGCCTTGATGCTGCAACCGCGCTCCTGTTCCGTGAACAGAGTGTCCGTGTAGCGCAACTGGCGCTCCTCCATGGTCTCGAACTGAGGATGCGTCTGCCGGATGAGGCAGTCGACAAAGGTTGTCTTGCCGTGGTGCAGGTGGCCAACTAACGCTACGTTGCGGATCAGAGGTGGTGTGTCCATCAAATCGGCCATGAACTCCATGTCGTAGGTGGTCTCTTGCATGTCCTGCTCTTTGATCTGGAACTTGAGCTTCTTCACCGGCTCGATGAGCGGTTTGTCCAACGGCTGGGCGTCCTCCTCCTGGACAATGGTCTCCACATCCGGCCCGTAGACCTCAACGGCCGAGGGATAATAGCGTTTGTCCTCGTGCAATACCACGGCGGTCACTTCTTTATCCTCGTCCTCCTGCGGCTCCACCTCATCCTCGTCCATGGCGTCCTTTTTGGCGGGAATCAAATGGTTTTTTTTATACATTTTAAAACATTTTCACCCATAAAAACCTCTGGATCATCCTGCACATCGGGTTGCCCGTAAATACTCTGGTCATCATCCTCATCGCTGTCTAGATCGGGGCCAATATAGTTGCCAAACTCATCGTACAAATCGGAATCCATGCTAAATGCTGAAGAATACATATTTTTTATTATTTTCATTCAAAATTGGCAAGCGGCGTCTCAAAAATTTGTAAACTTCCGAGGTGGCTAAAAATAATTATTCCCGCTGATTTGTAGTATATTAAACTACTCACCAAAGGTTAGGACACCTTCTGTTTACTATTTCTATTGAGAAATCTAATAAAAACAGCAAAAAATTTAAGATTTTACAATTTTTACACAAAAACGCGGATTGCAAACACGCTGTTCTTCTTCTTCTCAAAAATCGAACAGCTGTTAAAACGCCGGCATTGTTTACGGCATTGCCAACACAAAATGGATTAAATGCACGCAGCCCTGGCGGCAATATTTAAAATTCCCCGCTCATTAGGCATAATTAACGTTTTCCCCAGCAGGTAATGCAGGTAGATGCGATTCAAGAAAAAAGGTAGACCTTAAGGTTTATATTGCACTACAGTGCGCCTAAAGTAATTAGTCTAAAGTGTCAACCGAAGGCGCCAGCATCATTATGAAGAAATTGTGTTTGCTTCTTTTAATGGCACATTTTGTGACTTCAAGCAGAGATTTAAATGAAATTCTTGATCGCGACGAATGGATTAACATAGCCAAAGAGTACATACAGAATCACAAGCCATATAAGGCAAAAATCTACAAACCGTACAAGCCGCAAATTGTTAATTTTACAAACCCATTCGAAGGAGATATATGGGACACAACCACAGTAGCAAGCATTGCGGAATCTACAACCCCCTCGGATGAGGCGACGACTAATTATTTTACTGAGGAAATATCCAGCACAACAAGCAGTAATGAGGATACAACGACATTGCAGCCTGGATTTTCAACTACAGAATCCACTTTTCTGACATCGGAATCGCCTGAAACCACCACAAGTATTTTGGAGACCACAACATCATGGACGGAATTTCCGGAATCAACTACCCAGTCCACCGATTTTACAACAGAATCAAGTGAATCAACCACTGAAATATCTTCAGAAGTTAAGAGTACAACTGAATCTATTTTCGTAACATCGGAAGCTCCTGAAACAACCACAAGTATTTTGGAGTCCACTACAGAAGCTACGGATTTAAGAACTACAACAGAATCAAGTGAATCAACCACTGAAATATCTTCAGAAGATCAGAGTACAACTGAATCTATTTTCGTAACATCGGAAGCTCCTGAAACAACCACAAGTATTTTGGAGCCCACTACAGAAGCTACGGATTTAAGAACTACAACAGAATCAAGTGAATCAACCACTGAAATATCTTCAGAAGGTCAGAGTACAACTGAATCTATTTTCGTAACATCGGAAGCTCCTGAAACAACCACAACTATTTTGAAGTCCACTACAGAAGCTACGGATTTAAAAACTACAACAACTAATCCAAGCAGTACAGAAGTCAATCCAATAACTACAACGTTGCCGGAATCAACGACAACCATTGGAGATTTCTCTACAGCATCAACAACATTTCCGGATTTAACTACCCAATTTAACGATTTTACAACAGAATTGTATGAATCAACCACTGAAATTTCTTCAGATGATCAAAATCATAGTACAACTGAATCATTAGAAACCCCTACAGAAGAACTATTATTAACCACAGAAAGCCTGGAAACCTCTACATCTCTGCTGGAAATTATTAGCACCACTCCAGGCATAGAAACTACAAACTCATACCTTGATACAGTGATTGACAGCACAGAAGTGGAGAGTTCCACACCATCTGGATTCAATTTGACAACTAAAATAAATCAAAGTGAAGAAAAAACCACAACTCCCAGGCAACCCTTTCTCGTGGAGGATTATGTAAGGCAAAGGCCAAGAAAAATGAAGTATACTTCAGACACGGAGCCTGAACTTTACTGGTACTAAATATATTTTTGAATAAAGAAAAAATATTTTAATTTTAAATTATAGCAGCATTTTTAGTTTTATGTTGTTTGGTAACTTAGTATTTTTGTTGATGTAGTTGGCAACGCGGATAAATATATTTAAATATAGGAAAGACAGCCACACTAGGCTAAACACATTTTTGTTTTGGCTAATATTTGTAGATAGTTTTCCTATTTTCTTAAACTTTATAATTTAATTATGAGTTTGGCCAACATAAAACAGAAAGAAGCCAAGGGCAAGAAGAAAATGCTGCCCAAGTTGCGCACTATTCTGGCCAATCCGTATAAACAGCACAGGTGAGGCAGTCCTTAAGCTTGGAAATACCGATCAACAGGTTGTTTTTATTGACTTTTAGCCCTGTTTTGTCGGATGAGGAAGTACAGCAGTTTTGTCAAATTCTCCGAAGGGCGAGAGACAAAAGCACGGGAGAAACCATATCGTTTGCCACTCGATCTGGTATTCATCTTGGCCTGGAAAGCTCCCTGCGTGCCATAAATTCACAGCGTTTTTCCTGCTTGCTAGTTTCTTTGAGCCTGCGTCCAGCCCACCTCATCCGCTTAATAGCCACCAGTGCATCCGTCAAGGTTCCCACGGCGCCCATCTATGCACAACCCAAACTGGAGGAGCTTACTCAGGAAATCTTTGGGGTAAAGGCAGTTTGCTTGGCCTTACCTTTGGATTTAGGTGCTATAAGTACGGAGCTGGAGCAGTGGGTTGCTGCCCGAAAGAGAAAAGTGCCACCTGCCAAAAAGATAATACCTAAAATCCACAAGAAACCCAAGAACGTGCCAATATATACCCAACCAATCGATGAAGAAAAGGAGAAGCCTCTTCCAAAAGTGGAAAAAAAGGATTGGAATGATGATTTCATATCCTTCTCTGTGGAAAAACCCTCTATAAGGCTGGACCGCGAGGATGTCCAGGTGGAGACCCAAAAACTTGGCAATGCACTCAGCAATTTGGCCATGAAAGGCAAAAGTATAAAGGTGGAAGTGAAAAAGGAGGAATCCCCAGTTCTAGAACCCATGGAAGTGGAGCAAATTGAAGATCCAGTGGAGCCCGATGAAGATGACTTTCTGCCTAGAAATCTGCAGACCTATCGACCCCTCACTGTCCACCAAGTTCGTCCCAATCCCGACAAGAAACCCAAAAAGAAGCGAAACAAAAAGTCGAATCAGGCAAACATCAAATCCTAATAATAGTTGGCAACGCGGCCACACCAGCTGTAGTTCTTAGGTTATGTTATTTAGTTTGTTATCGTAATTTTTAAGCCGCTCGCACACAAAATGCTCCGAAGTTTACGTCAAATAACGAGGCTAGGAAGATCCCTAAAGACGCCAATCCCGGCCAGAAGCCTGCTTAAACTGCCAGCCAACTCCAGACTTCAGGCTCCCTTGCACACCAGCGTTGCCTTGTGGAAATACGACAAGAAATCCTCGCGAGCCTCGGATGATTTGGACAGCGACGACGAGGATGACGAGGATTTCAAGGACGAAAGGGACTCCAAGGTGGTCAAGACCAAGGTGAACTCGCTGCGTGCTGATCTTCTGCTGAAAGCTGGCCTGGGCATGGCCAGGAAGTAAGAATACTCACGTGAAACACATACTATGTGCTCAAAAAAAAATTATTAATCTTCTTTCTCAGCAAAGTGGAACTACATTTCTATGAGAGCAAGATACGGGTCAATGGAAAAAAGCTGGCCAAGAAGAGTGCCCAGGTTAGAACCATCCATTCTGATAAAAAGTCCAAGCTAACAACTACCAATTTCAGCTCGAAATCGGCGATGACATCGATGTAATTAGGGGCTTTAGCCAGACGAATCCTTCTCACCTGGTCGTGGCCCGCGTCTCCATCCTCTCCGCCAGCGAACGCGAGGAAGGACTCAGTGTCCACCTGCGGCGCTACAAATCCCTGCTGGTAGAGAACTACAGAGGACCCAACGCCTTTAAATCCTCGGAACACGTCGCTCATTAAATCAAGTTAGGAATAAATAGATGATGCTGCTTAGTACGAAATGACATTCGAATTTTATAGCACAAGGGTGCTTCAGTGTTTTTTAAATTGGAATAAAACGGATGTATTCAAGTAACTTATAAAAAAGACAAATTTTAAAAAGTGAGGAATGTGGGGCCTAAGATATTAGATATAGTATTATTAGTAATTCTTGAAATTTTTTAATGATGTTAAGCCCCGAAGAATTTGCTGTTTTTGACGTAGTCCTTATTACGGGTCACCTAAAACAGAATAACCCAAGTTGAACAGCGATTTTCCAACGTTTTTCAGTTTAATTTAAACACAGGAACCTTTAAAATTGTATTTTTATTTATATATAGGAAAAGACAGATTTTTAGGAAATTGTTAAGACTGTATAATTTCTTGACGTTTTTCTTTTTATTATTTTATCTACATTTTTATGAAAGCTTACAGCTTTTTATTGGAATTATGTTGGTAAAGTTCAGACTACCAAATGCGACAGGACTCTTCTTTTGGATGCATGGGTGTGCCCAGGGCACACTTGTAAACCTCAGCGAAGTCGTCGTTGTTTGAGACGGCCCCCAGGACCCGGTACTTATCGCTGGTATGCTCATGGCTGAGCTCCTCCCAGTAGTGCTCCTCCTCGTAGGCGGCACACCATAGCTGCGCGAATCCAAGGAAGAACAGCTGTTCCGGCGATAAATCGAGGCCAGGCATCTGCACGTTCTTGGGCGCCAGTGTCTCGACATCCTCCTCCCTTCTTTGGAGCTGCTTCATGTGGCTCCGATAGGCGGAGAGCGCTTGCCTCAATCCGCCGGCGTCGGCTATATTCTCATCCTTGGTCTCGTTGCCATTGACCTTGCGGTTGATCTCCGGTATCAAGTAATTGCTAAAATGGTCCACATAGCATTTTGCCCGTTCCTGGAAGACTCCCTCCGATTTCGTGGACCACCAATTGCGCATCTCACCATTGCTGTCAAAAGTGGAGCCCACGGTATCGAAACCGTGGGTCAACTCATGACCTACAAGGTAGCCCAGGGTGCCAAACTTCAGGGAGTCGGGCCACAAACGGTGATACGCCGGCGGATGCAGTATACCAGCCATTACATAGATCGAGTTGTCCAAGTTGTAGTAGAAGGCATTCACTTGCATCCCAATGAGCAGTTCCAGCGGCTTCGCATCTATGGAAATCTCTTCGAAGTGCAGGCCTTTGTGGCGCCAGAGAGTGGTGCCCAACCTACGCAAATTGATAATGTTCTGGGCGTAGTTATCCTCGGTCAGGGACAGATTCCCGATCTGTCGGATCAGGAGGTCGGTGAGCTCCTCGTCTTTATAGCTGCCAATCACCGGTGTAATGGTGGACTCCTTGAGCAGAGCCTCTCGTCGCGTCTCCGTGTCCAGCCATTCGACGTTCTCGAGCACCTGACGCTGGGACTTTCGGAGTTCCGTCACCATTGCAGAGATCTCGGAATGTGTATCCTCGCTAAAGTGTTCCTGTCGATTAAAGGGAACCGGATTAGGCAAGTTTATGTAGCTCTCTAATGTATATACCAAAAAAAATGTCTGCGAAAAATATTGTTGGTGAAAATTGGACTGTTAATAATCCTTAATCATTTTCAAACAAAACCAGCTCTTAACACAAGTCTACACTACTGACCGAATATTTGGTAAACATTCCTTTTTTTAACGACAATATACATATATAGATGTATAGATTTTAGAGCATACTTTTAGAAACGTTTTTGAGTTGATAAACTTATACTTAACTCACCGCCATGTAGAGCTTATTGAAGAGATGGGACATCGTGCTCTGGATGATAAGCAGACAGTGATCCTTCTGGTACTCCTTGTCCTTCAGTTTGGCGTCCATGCGGTAGAGGAGCACCATGGCTAGATAGTTGGCCACTGCCTCCTGGTGCTTGGCGCATACCTTGTCCAGCTCCGTGTAGTAAAAGTCGCAAAATTCACTAGAAGACGAACCGTTATAGAAGTCCTTGCCATCCCAAGCGATCTCGAAATAGTTCCTCCATTGGTCAAATTCAGTCACATTTTTAAGTTCGGAGAAGACCTGGCACCTATTACTATCACCTCCAAACATATCTTCAATAGTGAGCGCTTCGCGCCAAAAGTCAAAGACGCCAGAGATCACGGATTCGATTTTATCCTCTGTGAGATTGAAGGCCTTCAGGTAATCGTGCATCCTCTTCTCGTTCATCTCGTAGGCCCTTGAACTTTTGTTGGCGATGTTATCCGTGTGAACGTTAGAGTCGAAGCCCAGTTCTGGGAGCTTAAAATACGGCTGGAAGGGATACTGCGGCATTATCCTATCGAGAATCAGTCCATGGGCCCCATAGTTGGTGAGATGGGCACTCATGTTGAACCAACTGAACCTGGACGCGTTCCAAGCATCCCCATCGACGGCGGGGAATCCACCAATCGACCTGATAAGCGATAGATAAGCGGGATCGGCGGATGGGAGCGGAAATACCTCAGCCGCGATGCAGGAATTATAGAATCTTTGCGCAACGAGGAGTTCGGCAGACACATTGAGTGCCTCTGCCAGTTGCGTCCTGGTCATCAGCTCCTCCGTCACCTCGGTCAGTGCATAGATAATATCCAGGAGATTGCTCCGCTTGTTGGTTGTTCGCTGCGGTGGTTTAACGTTCTTCCAGTTTCCGCAGGCGTACTCGTAGAAATCCTCACAGGGATCGACGCTCAAGTTCATATAGGACTTCATCAGTGCGCCATAGGATCTAAGGAACTCCGTCGTGTCATCTGTAATCGCATTTTCTCGGGATTCATCCCCAATGCTCCTGGCCTCGCAGCTTAACAAAAACCCCCAGATCACGATGTAAACTATTCCCATACATAAGGGCAATGGCAAGCGGCTCGTGTTTGAAAACATGTTGCCCTGATTCATAGGGCACGCACGCAGCTTGTATAATATATTGTTAAGTAGTGCGGCTAATCATCGATTGACCCGTATTATTTGAAAACACAACAAG